GTAGAAAACACTCTGCAGAGTCTGCAGCAAGAAAAAGAATGGCACTCTTGACTGGTTCTCCTGTTTGCTCTCCAACAAGAGAGCAGTGTAGCAGCTCTGTCTCTTGGTTGGCAGGCTCCACACTGAGCTGAAACAAAGCCAGTTCTTTCATTTGGGTGCCTGCATGCCATGGATCACTAGAGTAGAAAGACAGCTCTGGCTATGACAAATAACTTAAGGAGGAGAGAATGGGGTCTGACATACTTTTATGGTGCAAAGGATGAAGTCAGGCTTGTCAGATAGGAAACATAAAAATGGGATAATTGTTATAATAAAGTGTGTGTGTAAATTAGCTCCATTACAATTGTGCCCAACATCCCCAGTCATGATGCAACATAGCCTGGCTTACGTGCTTCATGACTACACAGTACAGAATGGTTTGCAACAATAATTGCCAATTATTATTCAACAAAGTTTGAAGGGACATCACAGCAAAGGCCAAAGGATCCTCTGAACCAAACGGAGACTTGGCTCGAGCATTGTCTGCACCAGATCTCTAGCCTGCTAGAATTGCTCAGTCATTTAACAATTTTGTAAACAGAAGGAAGAAAGAGTCTATTATTGACCTAATTCTTTCATTCAAAATAAAATGTTTAGCCTGCCTTTCTAAACAATAATTTATAGATCATAGTCCATGGTGGGAGAACATACACTCTGTCCACAGGAATTTCAAGGGTCAGATACAGTAAGAGCTGAGTGGGGGGAAAACAGGTTAAAAAACAAAACAAAATGGAGGTCTGACTTAAACCATTTTTTTATTTTGTTTAAATCAGGGTTAGGTTGCTGGTTTTGTTGGTTTGTTTTTTAATCCTTGTTTTAATGAAAAAATGAACACAACTTATTATATGATATGGAGCTGTGGTGGTGCAATGGGTTAAACCCTTGTGCTGGCTGAACTGCTAACCTGAAGGTCGGCAGTTTGAATCCACGAGACAGGGTGAGCTCACATCTGTCAGCTCCAGCTTCCCATGTAGGGACATGAGAGAAGCCTCCCACAAGATGGTAAAAACATCCGGGTCTCCCCTGGACAACATCTTTGCACACATCCAATTCTCTCACACCAGAAGCGACTTGCAGTTTCTCAAGTCACTTCTGACATTATGTAATTATTATTACAGTCAATAACCAGCACCAAAAAAGAACAAATGTCAAAATAGGAACATGGCAGGCATTTATGTATTATTTATTTATTTACCTCACTTATATACCACTTCTCTCCCCCCCCCCCCCCCCAAGCGGAGGACTCAAAGCAGTTTCCAACATAATTATGGCAAAATTTAATGCCTCACATACAGAAACCTAACAACGATGATAACATACAATTATCAATTAAATCATAAAACACGACATAATTTAATATTAAAAGATGGAATTAAAAACATATCAATATAAACATTAAAATCGCACAATCCAACAATCGTAGAAAACATTGTTACAAGCAGTTACTATATTAATATTATGATACATTAAAATTTGATCATTCATATATTAATGCCTAAAAGTGGTATTTCTAAAAATATTTTGGTCTAAACCAGCAAATCCTGTGATTGAACCCTAATTAATCTCTAGGTTCAAGTTCCATTTCAATTCATCACAATTTGATTCATATAGGTGATGTTGGAAAAGAGGTCGGCCCTTGAATAGCCTAGTCAAATAATACTGCATTATAGGAACAAATGCCATCAAGTTGGTATCAGAGTCCTCAAATTTCCTAAACTATCCCGAAAGCCCAAACTCAGTCCCATCAACTGGAATAAACAAATCTGGAAAAATATTAGAATAAAGAAGTATTATGCGCCTTCAGATACCCAACAGCCCAACAAACAATATTAGGGAATATTCCTAGAAAGAGTCCAAGACACTTTTGTTAAATGAGGAACAAATATAGGAAATACTAGCTCAGTACTGTGTACAGAGGGGGCTGGCAACATGCAGCACAGGGGAATTCCTACAAGCTGCTGAAGTATCCAAAAGTATCCAACGTATCCTAGATTTTTTATATATAATTAAAATTTTATAATTATTTTTTGAACTCAAAAGACAGACTTTCCTGGCAGCTGCTATCATTTCAAAACAAAGCAAAGGCCACAATTTGCTATGAAGCCCTCTGCGTCTCATATGTACCCAGAAAGATCCTTAAGAAATAAAGACGGCAATCAACTTCACTGCTTCTGACCACTTCAAGACAAAAAAGAACAAAATTGAAGGAACCTTTCCTGTGTGGAGGAGATGGCTCAGCGCCTTGCAATCAGACACACTCATCATAGCAGTTATTTTGGGATGCGGTCCTTTCTTGATCTCTGAAATGTGCCCACAGGCCCCAAAAGGCTAGAAACCCCAAGTCTACACAGAGGGGCAGAGTAGCTCTCCATAAAGTCAGCCAGGGGTCATTCACAGGCCAAACTGGGAATCCAAGCGGTCAAACCTAGGACCTCTGGCATGCAAACCATGTGTTCTGCCATGGAGTCAGATAATCTTAAGTTGCCTCAAGGCCCTTCCAGATAGGCCCTATATCCCAGGTTTTCTGTTTATCCCAGATTATCTGTCAATGAGGACTCGTATAATCCAGAAAATCTGGGATCAGATCCTGGGATATAGGGCCTGTCTGAAAGGGCTCTAAGAAACAGGAGAAAAAAATCTTTATTATTATTATTATTAATAATAATAATAATAATAATTTTATTGTTTTATAGTGTACACAAGAAACAAAGCAGACAACAGAAAAATGAAAAGAAAGAAAGAAAAAAACATATACAAAAGAGTAAGCAAGTTCACAAAATGGTATACAGTCAGCACTCACTAAACATGTGAAAAATCAAATTTGGCTGTTCAGTTACTATACCTTAAGATTTCTTGTCCCTCTAACCCCACACCCGTGAATCCAACCCCCAGGAACTGCAACACCCCTCAATATGGATCACATAACTAACCCACAACTACCCATATGTCTTCTTTCACTAAATCCCCTTTATGGCAATCTTCAAATCTACCTTTGTCTTCTTTTCCAGATACCAGCCTCCATTTTTTACCCCCCAAATTTTTCATTATTTCCTCCTCTACTGCTATTTGTCAGTTTGGCAATCTGGATATAATCTACTAATTTATCTCTCCGATCTTTAATAGTTAATTCTTTTTCCTCCTTCCATGTTTTAGCTATTATTAGTCTTGCAGCAACAAAGCAATATTGACAAATTTCTTCATCTCCACCTTCTAAATAGTCCTAATAAACACATTTCTGGGAGAGCAAATCTGAACATTTATAAATGTGACAATAAGAAAACAGGTGTTTTCCCCCTTATACAGGTATTTCCCTCATGCATTGCTTCCTGATAAATGTTTCCTTATACAAGGCAAACATTTCCATTCCAAAATACTCCAAAATTTTCCACAGGGGAGGCTGACATGGTGACATTTCTGCTTTCTGGTGGTTCAATTTACACTAACTGTGATTCATGCAAACCCCCAGTGGAGCAGTGGGTTAAACCGCTGAGCTGCAGAACTTGCTGACTGAAAGATTGGTAGTTCGAATCTGGGGAGCAGGGTGAGCTCCCGCTGTTAGCCCCATCTTCCACCAACGTAGCAGTTCGAAAACATGCAAATGTGAGTAGATCAATAGGTACCGCTTTGGTGGAAAGATAACAGCGCTCCATGCAGTCATGCTGGCCACATGACCTTGGAGACGTCTACAGACAACACTGACTCTATGGCTTAGAAATTGAGATGAGTCAGACTTAATTTTCAAGGGGAAGCTTCTTATCTTTACCTTTGCTTCATGCACACAGACTAGACAATGTCAGGGGAAACTTATCTTTGTATTGTCGAAGGCTTTCATGGCTGGAATCACTGGGTTGTTGTAGGTTTTGGGGGCTATATGGCCATGTTCTAGAAGCATTCTCTCCTGACATTTTGCCTGCATCTATGGCAAGCAACCTCTGAGGATGCTTGCCATAGATGCAGGTGAAACATCAGGAGAGAATGCTTCTAGAACATGGCCATATAGCCCGAAAAACCTACAACAACCCAACCTTTACCTCTGCATCATGCACAACATTATCTATATAAATAAAATTGTAATGTTCGTTTGTGGGATTAGCATAACTCAAAAGCAAATGGACAAATTGACACCAAATTTGGACACAATACATGTATCAGGCCAACGAGTGACCATCACTCATAAAAACACAGCAGAAGAGACTTAAAAAGCCAAAAAATGAAAAATAATTACAACACATGTGCAAAACCACTTATATAAATGCAAACACACATATATACACATATACACAAATATATACACACACAAAACACATATACACAGACTGGGCCACAGCGATGTGTGGCAGGGGACAGCTAGTGAAAGATAAACAGGGCATGTGTCTAAGGTTGTACATGAAGCACACATACCTTATTTATTTATTCATTTAGAGCTTTTATATCCCGTCCTTTCTCAACCTCCGCAGAGGGACTCAGGACGGCTAACAAAGTGGCACCCCATGGCGCCCACATCAAAACATAAATATACAATTAACAGTAATGTAATAATAACAATATAAAACTGTATAAACAATATAAAAACAATATAAAAACAGAGAACAAATAGTCAGTGGTCACCGATTTAAATCATTATCCAAGGGCACGTTTAGATTTGAATCCCATCCCCAAGATATTTCATTATCTGTAGATCCAGCCATGGGCCAACTGGGGCCTTCCCTCCAGGTGTTTTGGACTTCAACTCCCACAATTCCTCACAGCCCGACCAAAAGTCCAAAACACCTGGAGGGAAGGGCGAAGTTGGCCCGTGCCTGCTTGGCTTCCCTCTCCCCCGCCTCCTGGAGTCGTTGGGGCTCGTCTAGGCCTCACAGGAGGCCTTCTGGAAGGGAAGGCGGGTGTAAAGGCCAACTAAGGAGAATCCCGGCTCCTTCCTTCCTTCCTTCTTTCCTTCCTTCCCTGCCTTTGGGACTCGCCTTGAGCTGGGACTTGGAGACCTTTCCGCTGCGGTCCACGTCGAGGGCGGTGAAGGCGTGCCAGATGGGCTTCAGCAGCTCTTCCTTCAGGCTCCCCATGGCTCCCCTCAGCTGGCCAAGCGAGCCCCGAGCCAGGCTCTGCGCGAGAGAGAGAGAGGGAGAGAGGGGGAGGGAGGGAGGCGCTTGGGCCTCACAGGGGCGCCAAGGAGGGCGGGCCTACACGCCACGCCTTTCCCTCCTTCCCACGCAGGGAAACGCAGGGAAACCTGAGGCCGTGCCCCCGCTTCCTCGTTTCCTGGCTCCTGAGGGGAATCTGTCGGGAAGGGCCGCCTCCCTCTGGCAGGCGGGACCAGGCTGGCTGTGTGTGTGGAGGGAACCTTAAGGCAGGCATGGGCGAACTTGGGCCCTCCAGGTATTTTGGACTCCAGCTCCCACAATTCCTTACAGAGGGGCTCCCATTTGCTATAGACATGCATTATAATTAATTGATAGATCAACTTACATAATCCTAAAGAGTCATTAAAATGGGAGGCGTGCCCCAGGATCTTTCTTTGTAAACACTATCAGTGGCCCAAATGAAAAGAAAGCCATGCACTCCTAAAAACTAGGAAGGGCCCGCCTCACATTCATGCTCTGCCTCATCTCATATAAAATACATCACAGCAGCCCCAGAATGAAATCTGCAGGAATTGAAAGATTTGAGTAATAATATACAGGGTTGTTGTAGGTTTTTTTCGGGCTGTATGGCCATGGTCTAGAGGCATTTTCTCCTGACGTTTCGCCTGCATCTATGGCAAGCATCCTCAGAGGTAGTGAGGTCTGTTGGAACTAGGAAAAAGGGTTTATATATCTGTGGAATGACCAGGGTGAGACAAAGGACTCTTGTCTGCTGGAGCTAGGTGTGAATGGTTCAACTGACCACCTTGATTAGCATACAATGGGCTGACTGTGCCTGGAGCAAACTTTTGTTGAGAGGTAATTAGATGTCCCTGCCTGCTTCCTCTCTGTTGTGCTGTTGCAATTTTAGAGTTTTTTAATACTGGTAGCCAGATTTTGTTCATTTTCATGGTTTCCTCCTTTCTATTGAAATTGTCCACATGCTTGTGGATTTCAATGGCTTCTCTGTGTAGTCTGACATGGTGGTTGTGAGAGTGGTCCAGCATTTCTGTGATTTCAAGAGAATGCCTCTAGACCATGGCCATACAGCCCGAAAAAACCTACAACAACCCAGTGATTCGGCCATGAAAGCCTTCGACAATGCATTAATAATATACAGTTCATAGGGCCCCCTGGTGGCGCAGCAGGTTAAATCGCTGACCTGCTGAACTTGCTGACTCAGAGGTTGGTGGTTCAAATCCAGGGGGCGGGATGAGCTTCCGCTGTTAGCCCCAGCTTCTGCCGAGCAGTTCGAAAACATGCAAATGTGAATAGATCAATAGGTACCACTTTGGCGGGAAGGTAACGGCTCTCCATGCAATCATGCCAGCCACATGATCTTGGAGGCATCTACGGACAATGCTGGCTCTTCGGCTTAGGAATAGAGATGAGCACCACCCCCCAGAGTCAGACACGACCAGACTTAATGTCAAGAGAAACCTTTACCTTTTATACAGTTCATAAATATAGCTGTATACTGCACATGGCACTCCGCTTTACCAAGGATGAAGCTACATTATAGAATTAATGCCACTTGACACTACTTGGCTGCAACTCAATGCTATGGACTCGTGGGAATTGTAATTTTTACAAAGTATTTAGCTTTCTCTGAGAAAGTACATCTCTCATGAGTCCATATCATTGAGTAAAGTGTTGGCAAATTAAATTAATTATACAGTGTAGCAGCAGCCCAAAATAGTCTCACAGTGTAAAGAAAATGCATCAGTGACATTATTGTATTAAGTCAGTCTTCACACAGTTCATAAAGCAGCTGTTTTTTGGCAGCTGTCATGCCGTTGATGCTAATTGAGGTTATTATGGTTGGTCCTGAAAGGGTCCGTTGGTTTGGTTGGTTGCATACTGCAAGTTGCCTCTGGTGTGAGAGAAGCAGCCATCTACAAAGATATTGCCCAGGGGACACCCAGATGTGTTACAATCCTGCAGGGAGGTTTCTCTCATGTCGGGAAGTAGCAGCCAATAATGAAAGGACCAAGGCAATGACATCTCCAACCCATCCTCTGTTTGGATATCAGCTAGCACGCCAATGCCTTGAGCCAAGAAATAGCTGTCTAAAATCTACAGAGATACTTGCAGGGACACCTCAGCAAGCAAGGGTCCAAAAGTGGCTGGCTAAAACCTGGAACCTCCATCCATGGCTGATACCAGATGAGAGACTCCCTCCTGGGCACACAGAAGACTGGGCGACTTGGAAGGCACTGAACAGACTGCGCTCTGGGACCGCGAGATGCAGAGCCACCCTTAAGAAATGGGGCCACAAAGTGGAGTCCACAACATGTGAGTGTGGAGAAGAGCAAACCACTGACCACTACTACAATGCAGTCTGAGCCCTGCCACATGCACAATGGAGGACTTTCTCACAGCGACACCAGAGGCACTCCAAGTGGCCAGCTTCTGGTCAAAGGAAATCTAGCACAAAGTTTTTAACCTTGTTTGTTTTTTTTAATACATTATAACTGTATCTTCAATTTGCTTCTGACATGATAAATCAATAAAATGAAATAAGTCAGTGAAAGTTAATTTCTATTGATTTAAGTGGATCTTCTTTAAGCGTAACATGAGACAGAACATAATTATGGAATAACTGATGGGACTGGTAGAAGGCAACCTCTGCTCCCCAATCCAGTTCCCCCTGCTCCCCAAAGCTCTGCTGAAGAGGCTAACAAACCCTCCAGAGCCTGTTCACATTCACTGCTGAGGGATGGGGGAAGGGAAGAGCTGAAAACTGATGATGCTACAGCACAGCCAGAGTGCTGGATTTAGACACATTCATTTAACCACAATTAAGCTTTAATTTCACCTAGGAATTAAAACTGGGTTAATCACCTTTGTTTTCCTAAGCAAGACTCAGCCATGGAACTTGGTAAGATAAAAAGAGAGAATTTATGCAAAGTGCTTTTCTCCACTTGTACATTAGTAAATTGTTCTGAGTTTTTTTCAAAGCCAAAGAATGTGGTTTCTAGCTAGGCTTGAAAGTGGCCCTGCCTTTCCACCTCCACTAGTTAACCATTGCTGAGGATCCCATAAACTGTTTTCCGGGACAACCTGAGCTAGCATTCTGCCTTTGCCTGCTGATTTCCTGGGATTCCTGCAAATAATGCTGATCTAATGCTGGTTGGAACTGATCCAATGAACTAATTTCAATAGGCCCATCATGTGAGCAGGGTTTGGTACTCAGAGTTTGGTACATTAATACATGAGGACAATCACACTCCAAATTATTAAATGTCAGTGACATGAACAATTCAGTGTGTCTGTCATTCCTGTCACCATCATTTATTAAGTAGGAGAGTATTTGAAAATGTATTACTGTTCTGTAAGTTCTTGCACAAGTTAGTGGAAGATTTCCCATAGTAGTTGGGTGGTTGCATTGCATTAAAAATAGGTTGGCGCAAGAAGTTACAAGTGGTAGCATATGCCTTCTGGTTGGTTATGAACATGTCTTCTGGATTTGGAGACACTTTTCTGACACATCAGGCCAGAAATAGGCTGAAAGTGGAAGAAGCTTTCAGATTAGCGCACAGAACAGTTTTTCCCCCCTCTTCCAAACATAATCGATAGACAATACCATGGTTCTTTATAATGATTGCCATATAATTTAACCTAGTCATCACAGCTCTGTTTAGACTGTTACCCAATTCATTCCAGTGCTTCCAGCTTTTTAATCAATTTGGATCGTCAAGTATCATTACAAATATAACATGACTAAGCTTTCTTATCTGTGAAGAAAGCATTATGCATTCAAATAATTCAATCGCTTTCCATTATTATAATTATGACATGGAGGAGTGGTTTAATATTGTTATGAACTGCACATTATGCCAATTTTAAGAGATTTTATCTCTTAACCATTCATTTTATGATATAAATTATTAACTTGTGACAGATCAAGATAATTGGTTGCATGAGGCTCTGTGACAGGGCAGTAATTTCAGAGTAATTTGAAAGTAATTGGAGAGAAGCTAACTTATTGTTAGTGACATATTATACAGGAGTAGGTTGCAGTACTCGTGCAGAGTGTTTTGTTTTGGGATTGTTGGGCAATTAGTCATGGTCATGTCTAGCTGATGATAGCATAAGCAGGTTGTGCATGGTACGACATTGCTCACATGGTACGACATTAAAGTACATAGTGTATGAAAGCACAATGCTTCTATGTATTGCTATTTCACATTTCAATTTCATAGTAGCCATGGCCATAAAGTGCACTATGTTGATATTCAGAATAGGAGTTGTATCATGCAACTGTGCCAGCAGACATTTATGTTATGCTGAAGACATTCACCAAAGTGTTTTTATTTTAACAGAAGTGAATTAATGAACCAAATCCCTAAAAAAGTTTGTTGAGGAGGTATACCTCATTTTAGACTGTATACTTACAGTAAGATAATGTTTCAAAATCTATCACAAACTATGCAGTCAATATGCATGTTTAAGTAGTTGCTGTTCTTGACAAAAGCCGCAATTAGGAATATACAACCATATACTATTTCAGCAGTAATTATGTTTTCCTGCAGCACGGGGAGGCAATCTTTACATCGGGTATTTCTCTTCATTCATCTTTTGTGTCTATTTGTGTCTAGTTCTTTTTTACCTCCTTGGAAGATTTCTTTCTTTCAGAATACCTTTTCTTACCTGGGTCTCTCCACTCTAATGAGAATAGCTAGCCTCAATGGGTTGTGACAAATCATGGATATAGTCTCGAATTCTCATCAGACGAGGAGTCAGGGACTGACTGCAGTGCAGGAAGGCGTGCACTCAGAGAGTGCATCTCACAAGGAGTTTGGATTCTGTTAAGGTGTACAGAGAACTGGGTGAGTTTTTACAAGGATCAACACCAAGTTTAAGGTAGATGTACGTAGAAAGAAAGAAAGAAAGAAAGAAAGAAAGAAAGAAAGAAAGAAAGAAAGAAAGAAAGGGTCCACAGGCAGGTGTGTTGCATGGGTTAATAGATGCAAGTGATTTCTCTTGCTGCAATCAACAGGATATAACTACAGAGGTTTGAATATACCATTTGGAGCTCTTTACAAACTGCTGTTGAGGATGTCGAGCTCTGTTATTTTTCTCCTGCAGATTGTTGATACAATGCTCTTTGGAAAGGACCATTGTTTTGTATGTAAGCTATATCTTATTTTGACTGCAGAAGGACAACATTTTCTGCTGGATAAAGCTGTTTATTCTCTACTGAAACTCTGCTGTGAAGAGTAAAGGAATTTTCTTTTTGCACAAACCTACTGCGACCCTTGTGTCATTTTATCTTCAAGGGCACTGCAGTTAGACTTTAAGTTTGGTGCTATAGAGGGACGGATTGTTTTCTGGCACTAAAAGCAACAGATTCTCCTGTTGCTGAAGCCACAGAAATGGCAGACCATGAGTCTCTGTTGCAAGAGGTGGGCTTGAGCAAACAAACGGCTTGAGGGACATAGCTTTGCCTGGGAGGATTAGTGCAACCAACACCTCTGGGTTTTTGAGGGACAGTCCCTTCTCCCCATAATTGTATCAATGGATGGAAGATAGGAGCACCTGAAGATCAGTGAGTGAGGTGTGGTGGTGGTGGCAGCTCTAAAGGCCACCCTAAATGGCAGGTAGCCCAAAAAGTGCCAGAAAATCAGGTGCAAGAACCAACGCAGGCTGGTGGAGTGCTGGTGGAGTTGCAAATCCTCTAGTGGCCCAAAGTATGTAAAACAGGCTAGAAAGTGTGGATCTTCAAAATCCTCTAACTCTTTCTAGGATAGGAGGGAGAAATGTGAGACAGGAACTTGCTTGCAGATACTCCCCCTCCCCCCCCCCAAAAAAAATTACATGAAAAAGCATTTATCTGCTGTTACTTCTGTGGTAAACACTGAGATGCCTTCTCTCCAGAGATCTCGAATAGAGAAGGTGGACACCTATCCTTCATTTAACTGGTAGAGTTACAGGATTCTTTTCCAGAACATGTTTCCCTGTGTTTGAGGCAAAGCATTTTACTGTCTTATTTATTGCCTCTTGTCTGAAAAGGAGGAAGAAATCATTGTAGGAAGGAAGAAGGAAGCTACCCCAAATTATAAGAGTTGATATAAAACCATCATCAACACCGGTAACTTGGTAACATCTTCACATATTTTTGTTTGTTCATTTTTTAAAGACACCTTGGAAAAAGGGAACCATATAAAATAAATAATCAATCTGAGTTTGGCATATTTTATTTAACACTAGCCGTCCCCTGGCACGGGGTAGCTGTGGTCCACATGGGGGTTCTGTGTGGGAGGTTTGGCCCAATTCTATCACTGGTGGGGTTCAGAATGTTCTGTGATTGTAGGAGAACTATAAATCCCAGCAACTACAACTCCCAAATGTCAAGATTCTATTTTCCCCAAACTCCACCAGTGTTCACATTTGGGCATATTGAGTATTTGTGTAGAGTTTGGTCCAGATCCATCATTGTTTGAGTCCACAGTGATCTCTGGATGTAGGTGAACTACAACTCCAAAACCAAAGGACACTGCCCACCAAACCCTTCCAGTATTTTCTGTTGGTCATGGGAGAACTGTGTGCCAAGTTTGGTTCAATTCCATCGTTGGTGGGGTTCAGAATGCTCTTTGATTGTAGGTGAACTATAAATCCCAGCAAATGACAAAATCTTTTTTTTTTTTAGTGAAGGACATACATTGGGTTCTTAGGTGTCTTGCGTCCAAATTTGGTGTCAATTCGTCCAGTGGTTTTTGAGTTCTGTTAATCCCACAAACGAACATTACATTTTTATTTATGTAGATCATAGGCATATTTGTGAAGGTATTATAGCTAAAGAGAGATATTCATCTTGGGAAGAACACATAGAGATGTGTATACTGGAAAAAGCACAGTTCTGGTGTTTTGACTTCCTCCTTTGCAATGCCTAGTTCAGCTTTTCCCCATCTTGGTTGTTTGTGACTCTAATATGAACCCTACAACTGAGTTTTCTTGGAAAGATTTGTTTCCTGTAGCTGACCTTCTCTGAGGCTGGGGGCCTTCTAGGTAAAGGTAAAGGTAGTCCCCTGACATTAAGTCCAGTCATGTCTGACTCTGGGGTGTGGTGCTCATCTCCATTTCTAAGCCGAAGAGCCAGCGTTGTCTGTAGACATCTCCAAGGTCATGTGGCCAGCATGACTGCATGGAGCGCCGTTACCTTCCCGCCGGAGCGGTACCTATTGATCTACTCACATTTGCATGTTTTCGAACTGCTAGGTTGGCAGAAGCTAGGGCTGACAGCGGAAGCTCACGCCGCTCCCCGGAATCGAACCTGCAACCTTTCAATCAACAAGCTCAGCAGCTCAGTGCTTTAACCCATTGCGCCACCGGGAGCCCGGGGGCCTTCTACACAGCCATATAACCCAGAATATCAATCCACAATATCTGCTTTGAACTGAGTTATGAGTCCACACTGCCATATAACCCAGTTCAAAGCAGATGTCGGAGTTTATACAGCTGTGTGGAAGGGGGGGGGGGCAAGAGAGTGTAACTTGCCCAAAATCATCCAATCATTTTCCATGTTTATTATTAAAAACGCGATCTTTTAGTCCAAATGGCTTGAAGTCTACCACAGGCATTTAAATCAGATTGATATAACTGTGATGTGTCATGAGCTCAATACTTCCTCTGCCTAAACACTTGAGCATAAAGAAATGTAGCATTCAGGTTTCATTCCTCCCACATACACATACACATCAAAAAGGTGGTGATGGGAGTCTGTTAATATCTTGTGGAGACATGGAAATCCCAAATTCAGTAATGCTTTATTAAAACTTGCAAATGTGCAGGATTCATGTTGTGTGTGAATATGTACCCAATTCTTTTGCACCGTCATGTATTTTTAAAAAGCAGAAGTATACTCTGCCAATCAATCTTTTATCTTTGTTTCTGCTTTGTGAGCATTCTGACCAAATATGTTCATGGTAGTTACAAAGTGTGATAGGGAAATTGTCTCATGGTTTCTACAGTGACTCATATCTTCAGGAGGAAGCATTGGCGAGACTCCTCTGTTTTCAGCCATAGAAAATCACAATCTCTTTCCCCTCAAAAGCTTAATGACTTTTAGTTTAGTTTACTAGTCAACAGATTTGTAGCTACATTCAGTACAACTGAAAATATAGGCTACAGTTTAGATTCGTGAATGGAATCTGGTAGTAGTCTTCGCCCAGCAGTTTATTTAACATGATGTCCTGTGAATTCAGACTTGTTCCACACTGAATGAGGAATTCAACCAACTTTATATAGAATTCTTACAAAGACAAGCAGCAGCAGCAATCTATGGTAATCATACAAATACATGCTATGTGCCAAATTATGTACATCACACTTCTTTGTAGCTCAACCTTTTGGAAACATGGCTAAGACTGTTTTTGCCTATTTAATTTAACTTTAAAATGCTATGAGCTTACATTTTCTGTCTCCAAACAAAACAAAAAAATTCAGCATGTCTCTACTTAATTTAGATCTACTTTCTGACCCCACCCCCACCCCAGAATCTGAGTTCTATTTCCATCTCTATGCTGCATCATATTATTATTACTATTATTATGATCATCATCATCTTGGTGTATACCCTGCCTTTCTCGCTGTGGGGGCTCAAGGTAGCTAACATTTCACACTAAGCAAGTTTAAAGGGTGCAATACAAAAGTTAAAAAGCAATTCAAAAGCAATTAAATAGTAGCAGTATGGTAAAAACAAAATTAAAATACAGTAATTATACTAAAATGGCATTTAAAACTCATATTCCCCTAAATTCCACCCACAGCACACACACACCCAAATTAAGAACCACAGCACTCCCGAACTGATCTTTAAAACCTTTTTCTTTAAAAGCTGGTCTGAATAAAAAGGTTTTAGCCTGTTGAAAAACGGATCTGTGCACAACTTTACTAGATATAAATCTAAGGTAAGAATCATGGATGGGAGCCAGCATGGTGCAATGGTTTGAGCATTGGGCTAAGGCTGGAGAACTGAAGTAATTTTCAACTTGGCAACTCTGAGATGATCTTACTCTGCTTCTCCTGGCAAGTTTTGTTCAGAGGATATTTCCTCTTTTTATAAAGTATGACTCATTGGCCATAGAAACCCACTGGCCAAGCCATGCTCTCTCATCCTCAGGGGAAAGCAAAGGGAAATATCCTCTGAAATATTCCCAAATTTCACCATTACCTTTTCTTTCCCTATATCATGTCTTAAACAAAAAAAAGTAATTGCAAAATTATCACTGTTATTTGTGCTACATCTGTTAATGAAGAATGTTCGCAATAACACTTTTGACAAAAAGCTGTGCCCTCATAGATTGCTTTCTAGTTAGTTCAGTTGCAGTTTTATCTGATACGAGCTATGCTTTCTTGTTGAATCAATTGGAAGTCTGAAATTCACCCAACCCATCCTGCATCAAAAGCATTGCTGTGGTTGACAGCTAAGTAATTATTTCAATAAAGAAGCTAACTAGGTGAGCAGGATCGTGTAGACCAGTCCTGAGGTAAGAATGCATTTTCATGAGTGGTTTACATGCTTGTTACTGATTTGCAATATTAAAAGTTGACAGAAACATGACAGTATTAATTTCAAAATGTCACTTTAATATTCCAATTCAATACTAATTAAAACAAAGTGAAACATTTCAAGTGGGAAAACATTGGTTCAAACCAAACACCCATAATGGATAGCATATATTTTGTCAACACCAGAACAAATTATCAGAAGGGCCAATTTATATTATCTAACGCTGAAATATCTTTGTATAGAATCTCCTGCCATCTCAAACTACAGCCTTCAATATGATACACTATAAGAACAGCTAAATACATTCATGTTGAAAAATGGTAAAACAGTACATCTATGTACAGTTATGAAAAAAGCAAACATTCAAATATTAACAGAGGAAGGAAGAGGAGGAGGAGGAGGAGAAAGGAGAAGATTGATGTTTTAGAGAACTTTTATTAGAAAGAATTACAAAACAAAAATATTTACACTAATAATGTAATTCAAATATAAAATTGGCGCAATGACTGTACATAGTACACTAGCTTTAGAGAAGGATGCTGCTTTCCCTAAGGCAGCTTTGACATTTTTCACATAATTTTCTTTAAGAAGAAAGCCTGCTAACACAATGATTGTTTTAATGCTACAGTTTTACAGCAAGGACAAACTAAAAATAGCAGCAGTTTCACATGGCATGTTTCCACAGCCTTATTCCTGTGGTCTACGCAATGTCTAACAAAGTGCTCCCAGTTGAATACACAACATTCACAACAGTTTACCTGGCACCAGGTATGGTTCAACCTGCTAGCCTCTAGCATTTGGCATCTCTTCCCTCTATTCCAAATAGAGCCAGTTTACAAAGTTCCTGAAGACGTCTAGGTAAATGCCTTTCATCAAAACTAAAAAGCAGCCCACCACCCTCCTAGTGGTTAGCTCCAGAAGGTGTAAATGAAAGGCTTGGAAGTTAACATCCTAGATTCTTTTGAGGATTTAGAAAAACAGTTACTTAACTGCATTTGGTAAATTTAAAACTGTAAAAGGCTCCTTTTAAAAAGCAGTGACAGTGATTAAAGAGAAAATAAGAAACAGAATCCTCTCTTCCATTCTTAATGTAGTCCAGCAATATTCCATCCATTTCCTTTGCCAGTTTTATGGAATGATCAAGTCAGTATATTGTGAGGCTAACTGAGCGGTTCATTTTCTTTCCATGAAGACGAGCCGTTCTGGTCTGTACTGTAGATCGAGTTGCCATTCGATCTGTAATCTGTGCTCGTTCCTCAGCTGCTGCCTTTGCCATCTGTGCTTTCTTTAATTCCCTAGAAGGGGAAAAAAATTCTGTAATTTCCTTCCCATATAACATTGCAGCCAAAGCAATATTAAAATTAAAATAGGCTAAAAAGAACAATTCATCTTACTCATGATCTATCAATTTATCAATTTACAGAATCACACATAGCCTTCCAAGGGGAACACCCCCATTATTGTGATACCTGTTTCCCACACTCCATTTCTGCCAAAATGTAGCACATTTCGAAAGCAGGCCCTGGTTTGACATCTTACTCCTACTTCCTTATTCTGTACACAGATGCTATCTTTTTAATAAGGCTGAGCAAAGTGCAACCTATAGGCTGCGTGCATGCCCTCAAGAATGTTCTAAGTGCGGTTCAAACTGGAAACACTTTCTGTGTTTGAAAAGATCCAAATCCAGGCAAAGACAATTTTTCTCTATAGCCTCTAGAGGGCGCAGGGAGCCCTTTTCTGAAGGGAGAGGCAGGGCAGGATTGGCATTCTCAGATCCAGGACTGTTAGATATACTGGATGCAGAGAAGCCGCCTTCCATACTTCAAGTTAGTCCTAGAACTGAGGTGGCACTCTATAGTTTCTAAGCAACACTTTGCTATTTTGCAAAAATACAATTACTCTGAAACTACCTGTCAAACATTATTATTCATAGCTTTCCATACAAAATAACAAGGATGTGCACCAACAGCTATGCAGTATGCTCAGAGATTATTTTCAGGACCATGCCTTGCTATCAGAAGAATCAAATTATTTTTCTGTCCAAACACTCGTTGAACTCAGTTTGCACCCACTGTTAGTCGAGGCTAGTATGGTTTCAGCACTTCTTCTGGAGTAATCTTAACCAATCAGGGATCCCATAGTAAGAGTACTGATGTCACGGAGTGCAAGTATCATAATGCTTCCTAGTATGGGAGCCGGGTGATTAAAATCCAGCAGTGGGAATCAGGATTCCTCACCAAGGGATGTGCTAGCTAGGGCTGATGGGAACAGCAGTCAAAGAACACCTGCAGGACTACTTGGTTTCCGACCTTGCTCTAATTAGACAGGAAGGACAGAATGGTCTCCTCCTTGCTGTCCTTCTGGCGACAGGCTAAAACCTTTTTATTTAGACAGGCTTTTAAAGAAGAAGGTGTTTAAGACTGTGAGGGGCTGCTGTGGTTTTAACTTTGAATATGTTTTGATGGATTTATAACTGAATTTTTAGTGCTGCTATTTGTGTTTAATTCTGTTTTAATTTTTGTATATTTTAAATTATGTGCAAAGGCTTTTATGTCAAGCTGCTTTGAGTCTCCTTTGGGGACATAAAGTCGTGTATAAATTGATATGATAACAATAGTATTAATTGGACAAATATAGAGGGATTCTATTATATTTATGTTCTGCTTCATATGCTTTTTTCTATTATTGGGTAATCACAGCATTATTATCTCTAATCCTACTACAATTTACTGTCTAAATAAAAAGGTTTTATCCTGCCGCCGGACGGACAGCAAGGAGGGTACCATTCCGGTTTCCCTGGGCAGGGAGTTCCAGAGTCAAAAGGAAGCCCAGTGGGAAGGCCTGCTCTCTTGTTCCCACCAACCAAGCTTGAGACCCATGCCAACTAAAAACCCATACCAACTACATTTTTCCCTGCACAGTGCATATTGGGATTTACACTTAAAGCACCAATGCCTGCAGATAAAATGAATGTATGTGCTAAACTATAGATCCCTTATACTACAGTCAATTTGTGCTTCAAACATTTTTTTATTTGATGTTTTAGTTAAGTATTAGCCAAATAAAGAAAACAAATAATTTTGATTTTAAGAAGACACGGTTCTGTAACACGAATTTCAAAATAATTTCCCAGATGCATTAAGTTAAAGCTGATAAAGATCGGTTTGAACATACTTCTGTAACAAAGAGTTTTTGAACTTCTCCGCGTTCAGTTCTATTCGCAGTTGTTCAGCACTCTTCCTGGCAGTAGATAATAGTGCAGAATGCTTAACTAGAGCAACTGCTGAAGGTCTTTTCTCTGGATCAGAGTGTATCATAGTCTGAAAAACATTGAAATCAAGGTTCACTGTCTGTTTCATTACCAAAGGGGGAGAAAGAAACAGTCATTCAAGCAGGCTTTTGTAAACATATTATAATGCTCTTACTTTCAATAACTCTAAAAACTCCTGAGAAAGTACTTGTGGAATTCGAGGCAGTTTTCCTTGTCGTATTTCATGCCACTGGTCTCCATTGGCTGGCAGTGGTTCAGCACCAGCAGCGCACACCACAGTTAGTGCAAGGGCAAAAATATCAGCTTTTGGTAAAGAATTATAGTTCTGAAAAAGAAAGGAAGGTTTAGTTGCTTCAGCAGAATATCACACTAGACACCCAGGCTTGGATCCTACATTTTCATGGAATGAAAAGTGTCGTTTTCATGTAGTGAAAATCAAGTATCTGGACCTCAGTTGACATTCATATGCAGAAAGAATGAGACCTCAATTGACAAGGCATCCTTACCTCTTGTAAAACCTCATTGGCAAGGAAACGACTATCTCCTTCCTCCACTTGTGGACTGGAAATTCTAGTGACGTGACCAAGATCTCCTATATATTAAAAAAGTAGAAAAGATAAAAATACTGTTTTTCTCTAAAGTGCAAAAAAGTATACATAATAATGTAGCATCATCTTTTCTTACCTATTTTGAATACAACGTTGCTAGATGACCACTCGTCATCATCACCATCTTCAGATATTGTGGATGGAATTGAGGTTCGAGATATAAATATATTGCCTGCCAAAGAATTAGAATAGAAAACTATATAAAAATGTAATTTATTTTCTGAGCCATTGCAGCATTCACCACCATTGGCTTCTTTTATGGAACGGTCACATTTTATTCTTATTGACATATTTTTAATATATGCGTATTCCACATTCCTTTCCAGTTTTGAGGGTGTAATACTTTATTACAATCTGACTCCCACATTCTTTTGAGGTGCTCCTGGACTCCCTCCAACAGCGTTTTGTAGATATCACTTGTTATACCTTTTGTTCTTTCTTTTTCTTCCTTACTCCCCCTTTGGCTAATTGTTACAAAGTGGTGTGGAGATGGTATCTCACACCAATCAGATTAAATCAAATCGATAAGAAACATTCTAAGCAGTGCTGGAGGGGCTGTCAAGAAACTGGTACATATATATACATGTGGTGGTCTTGTAAATATGTTCAAAAAATTTGGGAAAATGTATTTCAAGAAAAAAGAAGAACACCCAAATAGAGATAACAGGAACACCAGAGATAGCACTGCTGTCATTTATTGGTTAAAATACCAGAAGAACTAAAATAATTAATTTCCAATCTGGTAACAGCATCAAGATTGTTAAGAGCTAAAAAAATAGAAAGGAGGGGAGTGCCAATTGGAAGAGTGGTATAGGGAGATCTGGGACATTGAAATAAATGATAAACTGACAGGAAACATAAAGGTTAAAAGAGGATTATAAAAAAAGATTATTTTGGGAAGATTTGGGGAAAAAGTGATAGAATACGTATATATAGAAGATAAGGGGAACATACCAGTAATAGAAACAACTGATTTTTGGAAATAAGTATTGTAATTGGATGGTCTGGGGTGAAGGGTTAGCACTGGGCGATTGGACAATATTAATGATGCGAGAGGATGAAATATTATAGGCATTAAGACATACATGTTCTGTACAATTTGTTAAGAGGAAGTGGTAAGTATAAGAATGTTTAAACACTGAATATGTTAAAATTACAGTAAATACTTAAAAAAAAAGTAACCGATACAAGGAGTAACAACCTCCTTGGACAGAAGCCAAAATTTAAGACAGTGAACAAACAGCATAATCCCACCATCCAAAAAGACAAAAACAAACTTAACAGAAGTTTGTCAACCATGTACTTTGAAATTGTTCTTTCATTGTATTCTCTATTCAGTCTGAAAAATTTTCAGTTACTAAGGTGTGGTTCTCACTGCATATTTTACTACCACATATTGAATCACCTCTGGAAATTGCAAACAGTTCAATTACAGAAAAGCAAAGATCTTTGAATACTTACTAGGTTTTACATCCATGTGTACTAATGACATTGAATGGATATATTTTAAACCACGAGCAACCTGAAGTAGTAGATCTTTCAATTCAGGCTCACTGAAATAGCGCATATTTCTGTAGTTTTCACTTATGGCATCAGCTAAACTGCCACCTGCAAGTCAATTTTAAATTACGTTAACTTTAAAGGTAGAAAACCAAATTAATTCTAGTATAAAACATCATCACAGTAAATGCATAGTCCTTTCAAAATACCTTATTCATGTTATTTTGTTTGTTTGTCAACATGGAACAAAAGACAGCACAACACATACCTTTAAAACAAAGTAAAGGTTTAAAAAACAATTAAATAATATGTCAAATTAAAAACATCACTAATTTTAGAAACTAACACAGCAACAAATAGGAAGCAGAGATAAGACCAATACTGTTATTCTGGACGTGAGACACGGCTGCCTGGTTGTTATCCTGCTTTGCCCCCTGAGGATTTCTGCCTAATTCTTCATCTTTCTCAACAGGAGCAGGACCCTCAGATATTTAGCCAGCTTCCCACAAATCGGAAGTGGAGGGGGAGGCTTTGTCCTCTTTTGAAAGGAGTTGCCTGACTGAGGCAATAGGCTACTTCTTTGGGGGAGTTGTTTTAGAAATGGAACAAGACACTAACCCTTGCTTTGGGGAGGGAATGGGGAAGGAGGATAATTCTATAATTTAGTATTTTTAGAAAACAATCTGCCCTTGGAAACACAGGAGAGAGGGCAGCCCAGGTGCAGCCACTGCAATAAATTGGTGGAGCAGAGATACACTGCTATCATCATGGGAGAGGGGGGAGCCACCATGTGTTCACTGCCCCCCAAAACTCTTGTACTTCTAATAGTCTCAATAGCATTGGCATTCCTGCTTCTTAATGCCCAATTGGTGAATGGAAGAAGAGTCATGATACAAGACTTGATCCTGAATAAGCATGCCAATATAAATGAATGAAGCAACTGAAGTGCTGTCTACTTGGATTTTCTGTTCAGCAGCAGGCAAAGCCTAGCAGGAAGGAGGCTGGACTGCACTCCCATTTTCACCCTATATGGATGACAGTAATGCACTCTATATGAAGATGTCTTTTGAAACTGTTCAAAAATGTTATAGCCAGACCATTAACTTGGGCTTGTTACAAGGATAAGACAGGTTGCTTGTGTATAACTGTCTTTGGAGCAGCATAGGAAACACATGGGATTTCCTACACATCCAATCTTTGGAAACTAGAGCCAAGATCTGTTTGGCAGAAATTCCACCATGCCTCTTTTGTGCATGCCCCATATGGTTCATGTTCAAATGCCTTCAATCCCCTGTCTGCCAGAGTAATGTAGCAACCAAGAAAGTTAAGTGTAAGACCCGTAGCAAACTAGCCTCCTGCGGGAGCAAACCTTGCCAGCACGTCCCTGACGTCATGAGACTCCGCCTCTCGCCCCGCCCCTTTCTCAGCCTCTTTCTCTGTGCCAGAGTGGTTTTTCCTTTGCTAGGGCAGCATTGCCAGCATACTCTCTCAGTTGGCAAAATTCAACTGAGAAAATACGCTGGCAATGCTGCCCTAGCAAAGGAAAAACCACTCTGGCACGGAGAAAGGGGCGGGGAGAGAGGCGCAGTCTCATGACGTCAGGGACGTGCTGGCAAGGTTTGCTCCCGCAGGAAGCTAGTTTGCGGCGGCTCTTAGATAGAAGAGAGGCACAACAGTTTTGTGAATTCAGATGATCACTCGAAGAACCAGAGTTACTCGTAAGCAACCTGCCTGTCTTCTTTGTGGGAGACTAACAAGCTACATGCCAGGACAGAGGGTGATTTATGCTCACAAAGACAGAAGCACAGCTCTGGAGAGGAGGTGGAATCCTTGGCTCAAATATAATGTCCAAAAAAAGGTAAATGGCTGATCCCAGGTAGCCAGCTAATAGATGCCATGCATGAGCCGAGAAAGACAAGAGACCGAGAAAGGCCTTGCAGAAATAAGGTGGAGGAATGAAGTCAATGGATTCTTAGTTAACTAGGAAGCAAGCAACATGGTAACAGCGACGTAGCCTCATAAAGAGTCTAGCTATGATCCTGTATGTAAGGTATGAAGTGCAGAACTGAAATACTTAGCAAAAAGTAGTGATCATTATCATCCTACCCTCCTGAGACAAGTATTCTGTATCCTAATGCATTCATTTTTCCTTGGGGGAAAAAACATAGTGGGGTTAATTTAACTGTAGCTTTACTTACCATTACAATATTCATTCTGTATAAGCATATGGTCATCTTCCGCCCAGGCAGAAAAATATCTGACTACATGAGAATGCTGTCCCAAAACTGCATGAGCATAGACTTCTCTAAGAGCATTTTGCCTGTGATATTGAAATAAAGTTGTCATGTCAATGAAGAGTTCGGAGACTTTAAGACGGGTAAACATAATATAATGTAACTATGAAAGCAAACATTTATATCAGGATTTGAGAATATGCTGTTTGTTTTTATTTCCATTGATGCATCTTTAGACAAGAGCATTCTGTTATTCTAGATAATGAGTACGTCATGCAAGTTGAGCATAACTTCCACCAAAGTAAACAAAATTATGACAGCAACCACTTCAGACACAAGTATTGATAATAAAATTGTTCTGGATACACTGGCAGCCCAGAGGGAAGTGTATTCTTGTAGACATTGGTATGAATTCATGTTTTTATTCATTGTTGTTATTGTTTTTACTGTGTCTGTTTTATTTGCAATCATTGGGCTTGTCTCTCTGTAAGCCGCCCCGAGTCCCTTCAGGGAGATGGAGGCAGGGTATAAAAATAAAGTTATTATATTATTATGTAATTAAGTGTTTTATTTTTTGTCTGCATGCCACCCCCACACTGCCAAGTAAATATGCATTCAGAAGCAATTGTTAGCACTTAAACATTTATTAATACTTACTCATCAATTGAACCAGCCAATGGCTTCTTAGATCGTTTTATTGCATAGATGCAACCATCGAGTCTTTTCACACATTTGAATACTGAACCAAACTCTCCAGATCCAATCTTCTCTAGCTCATGAAATTCTGTGGCATATCGTGATTTCATGTTACTTTCTGTTATGCTGATCCGCTACAATAAGAGATAAAAGTTTTGTTGCTTAAAGCTAAAAAATGTAATCTTGTGAATTACTTGGCAATGGATGCGGATTTTATTTTTACCTTAGCAGGTCTGACAGTTTCATCTTCCAGCTCTCCATCACTTGCTTCCATGTCTTCGCAATAAGAGCTGAAGATAAATAAAGAAAAAGGAATGCCATTACACTTCCACTCTCCTTGATAAGCCAAGGTAAAATGCAAGCTCTTCCTCAGCTCTATGAGCTGTGACAAAAATAACCTATCCTCACATCCTCCAGTATCAAAAAGGCATGTTTTTGATACTGTATTCTTAAAGATAATAGTGAGGGCCAGGGGTGTGTAACCAGAGATGGTTAGATAGTTAGCAGTACATTGAGCAACTCTCAACATGGAGGCCCACACATATTAGCAAAACTGACACTAGACTTAAATCACACATTACACTAGCCTTGCTGCTACCCACTTCTAACAATGTTCCAATATGAGTATTCCATTGTTCTAGGTATCTGCCCACATACCAGTAGAACTAGAGAAATGCAAATCGCGATGACACTACTGTACAAGACATCAAGAGAAGGCAACATAGCTTAGCCAATATTAATCTGACATAATACAAACAAGGAGCTTCACACTAAAGTCAAGGTGAGTAAAGCATGAGTAAAGGAGGAAGTCTTAAACTTCATATCCATTCAGAGCTGCAAAAGTCAAAGTAAAATCTTTGAAGTATGGTTTTGTTTCATCAGGCAAATACATTTAAAATCATACAGAAGGGAGAACTTCCTGACTGTGAGAGCTGTTCAACAGTGGAACTCTCTATCTCCGAGTGTGGTAGGAGCTCCTTCTTTAGGGGCTTTTAAACAGAGGATAGATGGCCATCTGTCAGGGGTGCTTTGATTGTGCTTTTGCTACATGACAGGGGGCTGGACTAGATGGTCCATGCGGTCTCTTCTAACTCTATGATTCTAAGTAGAATGCTAACAATGTTAAGAGTAACATGCCCACATTCTGCCTGAGACGTTGTCAGTTAAGATGGCATGGAGCTTTCAAAATGCAAGCACAGGCCATTCCCCTTACTTGCCATGTGAGGACCTGTCTGGTTTTAAAAACATCTTTGGCTGATGTATAAGCCTGTGAAACTTCAAAAGCTTGCAGAATATATTTTATGCTTTGGAGGTGGCAATACCAAAAAAAATCCAAAAAAACTCCTGCTTCTAAATGTTGTATTTTGCTACAGGCCCAACACCCTTGAATGTTTTACAATATTGTAGTGAGCATTGTGCTCCGAAAACATCCCTTAGTATATCTTAGTACATCCTGAAGATAAAACATAAGTCATTTTATAGGGTTGACCTCCACTGCTATTAAATGGTTTATCATGGACCAGTTCAACACTCACTTGTTCCAGTGCGTTCTCTTTCTTCTGCGACACTGTCCAACTGAAGACTGAAGGAAGAGAGAATCTGGAGTGAAGGGATTAATGTTCACGTGAGGGGCTTGACCCATGTCGGATTCTTGTTTTACTAGTTTTCCAACATTCATAAAGAGAGAGCCACCTCGGAGTTTAGCTGAACTTGAGCCCATTCTTTCCGCTCTGCAAAGCAGACTCTGAAAAATCAGAGATAAAGCAACATTATTAGTTATGTTAAATATTTAACATCTTATTGTCTATGCAATGTTAATGATTGCTCCAAACACATCTGTGCCCTCTATTAAATTATTTTTATTCATTATTTCTTATATATAATCTTATATACAATCAGTGTCATGCAATACAAATCTTGGACAACATCATACACTTTCAGGCTTCCCAAGTTATACTTAAGACAAAGATCCATGGATGAAATGTGTTTCCACTTAGTTTCAATGATCCCACCTTCCCAATTCTCAGAAGATCTGAAGATAGTTTGGGTAATGCCAAGTACGCAAAAAAGCAATTTACCACCAGCTCTTCCTCCAAGGGAAAAAGCAAGCTAGTAATACAGGAGGCTGGTAGAAGGTACCTGCTACTTGCCGCCCCCATCTTAATTTGCTATACTTAATATAGAAGACAAGTTTTCACATCATCAAGCAGTATGCTGGCCATGGAAAAAGGATGGAACTGAGCAAACTGTCCTGTTTCCATCATAACCATCTAGAAGGAATTCCTGGTTGTCCCAAACAAGTTAAACACAAGACTGCAATAATGTTTCTGAATTAAAGAAATATTTGCTACAATAAAGAAAGGGAATAGTTCCTGCAAACTTTAAACATAGCTAGTAAACAGTAGCTGATGTTATAGCCAGGTCACAGGAAATAATGCAATGTGGGATGACCAATTAAGGCAAATGTTAGTTTTATATTCTTACTGAGACAGCTAATAAAAAGCAAATAATGGCTAAAAGAATCAAGGGCACATGGATGTCTCCTTGCTCAATCTCTGTTCCCATTGTTCAACAGAAATTCTGAAAACTCAAAACAGTTTTGTAGACAAAAGGCATTTTACAGCACTCTACAAAATAGTGAGAATCAAGAAGAATATTCAATAATTAAATAATGCCTTTAAAAAATCAGTCACATAATACAATTGGCACTCTATATTCATGGGCATTAGGGGTATAGGAACCCTGCATGTGGGAAATTATGAATATTGAATGGTGGGGGTAAGTCCCCTTGGCCCACAGTAAGCACAAAGAATGTTTGCCTAGCTCCACAGCAGCTGACCCCTTCCCATGGTCAGGGGCCATGTACACATTCACAAGGAGGGGAGGTGTGTGTCTCACTGCCACAGTTGTGCTTGTGTCCTAAAGAGGGGGCTGTCCTGTAAACATAATCAGCAGCTCTGTCCTTGGGGGGAGGATGAGGGATCACTGCCACACCCACCTCCTGAAGATAGGATGGCCTTGTGAACATTCAAACTGCAGCCACACTGCACCCAGGAGGTGGGCAGAGAGTGAGGGATCATTATTCCTCAGGGCCCACACAGCAGCCCCCTTCTCAGCAGAGGAGTGCAGCAATTATGACTCACTCCCACCTCCTGAGGACAAGGCTGTACTGTGAATTTGCACACATCTGCATAAGAGGAGAGACAGAGGGGGAGAAAGAATATAAAATCCAAAAATGTGGATGCCTGACTGTAGTGAAATGAAAAAAACAACATGGTGAAAAGTAAATAGAGGAGTCAGAAGACACCTCTCAACACATAACGCTCCATTACCTAAAAATGGTCCAAGGTAAGGCCTTCTTCCACTTTTAATCATGTACAACCTGAAGTACTTTCTTAGCAACTAATGATCATGTCAGCTGGCCACAGGTGAGTCACTAACGGGATGGCATTCTTTGTCCAACTAAAATCCCAAAAGCTTGCAGATAATTTTGTATTTGGGAAATTGTCCTAATAAAAGCACTACACTGCATTTGGAATTTGCCAACCAGGATATTTCATGATCCAGGTCACTCTGTAAAACAATACGCAGATTTGCCAAGCACTCTTTGTTTGGGTACTCTATTGTTTTGTTTGAAATGCTCCATTTATTTACATAGCACTTTACCAATTATACAGAAGAAATTTTCTTTTCACAATTATGCATGTGGTTTATCCGGAGCAACAAAGGGTGCTTCATCACTGAGCAAAATTTGGAGAGATCATTTTATTCTAAGCCCATTCTGAGAATTCCATTAATAAAAGAGCTGTTTAGACACACTAAACCAGTGGTTCTCAACCTGTGGGTTCCCAGATGTTTTGGCCTTCAACTCCCAGAAATCCTAACAGTTGATAAACTGACTGGGGTTTCTGAGAGTTGTAGGCCAAAACTCCTGGGGACTCGCAGGTTGAGAACCACTGTGCTAAACTAAAATTAAATTAAAATGATGGATGTAAAACCAGACAATGGGGAACAGCTATTTAAAACAGAACATTCAATCTCATTCTATTATATGGTACTTTACACATCACAGACCTTGAACACAAACACTTGCAAAAATCTATACTTTAAAGCAGGTGCTTTGTTTAAAAGGCCTCCTTCAGCTTTCCCATTCTTCTCCAGTTTGGCTTCATAATGTGTTGGGGAGTGTTCCTTTAACAGCTCTCCTGAATGTCAACAATCCAGATTCAATCCACAAACTGAAGGCCAGCTTTCCAGTTATAGGAGACTGAGCTGCAGTGGTAGTTAGTTACAACAGAATGGTCAAAGGCTTTGCAATGTGGGCAAGGACTATTTTAGTGAGAGGTTGTAGCCCTCTTACATAACCCTAACGGACAATCTGTGGGCAGGGCCTCACAAGGATGCCAGAGATGTTGGAGGTTTCTTTTTGTAAGAGGCAAATTAATTTGTTATGTAAGGAATATGACAGAGGAACTTGGCACTGGAGAGACCCATTCACGCCCTTGGCAAAGAGTCACCCTGCAGAGCATGATGGAATGTATTCCGTTTAAAAGGTCTTCCGACCAATGGCTTCGAGCTGCCACCCTCTTCCCCTGCTTTTTAAAACCCCGTTTGCACTTTAAAGGCCTGCCTGCCTGTCGGCAGAGTTGGTAGCAAGGCCAGTCCAGAACCCTTCGGGCAGGAGGCTCCATGGAGGCTGCAGCTCCCTTCGCCAGGGGCAAGAGGAGGGGGCCACGCCAAGGAAGGAGAGCCATGCTCCGCCCCAACCCAAAACTGTACCTCACCCCGCTGCCCTTCGCCACCCGGCCTCTTGTCCTCATGATGGCCAGGATCATCCCAAACAGACCCGCCCAAAGAGAGGCCTGTGGTTTGAAACGTGCAAAAACATTTAGCTGTCTGGCCAGCTCTTCAAGGCCCAGCTTCTCCTCCTTTTGAGACCCCGTCTACACTGACAACAAACTACAATGCAGCTTGAAACTGTGGTAGCCAAACCACAACTTCCCCCAAAGAAAGCCTTTGATGTGCCCCAGTACCCTACAGTCTGTACCACCACCACACCTCGTGATTTCCAATGGAAATCAACCGCACAGCAAATCCATCTTTGGGTTGCTGAGAGTTTTCCGGGCTGTATGGCCATCTTTCAGAAGCATTCTCTCCTGACCTTTTGCCCACATCTATGGCAGGCATCCTCAGAGGTTGTGAGGTATACTGGAAACTAGGAAAGTGGTGTTTATCTATCAGTGGAATGTCCAGGGTGGGAGAAAAAACTCTGGTCTGCTTGAGGCAGGTGTGAATGTTGCAACCGACCACCTTGATTAGCACTGAATAGCCTTGCAGCTTCAAAGCCTGGCTGGTTGCTGCCCGGGGGAATCCTTTGGTGGGAGATGTTCCCTGGCCCTGATGGATTCTTGTATGGAATTGCCCTGCTTTTTGAGTGTTGCTCTTTATTTACTGCCCAGATTTTAGAGTTGTTTTTTTTTTAAAAAAACTGACAGCCAGATGTTCATTTTCATGTTTTTCTCCTTTTTCTTGAAGTTATCTACATACTTGTGGATTTCAATGGCTTTTCTGTGTAACATGACATGGTGGTTGTTAGAGTGGTCCAGCATTTCTGTGTTCTCAAACAATACACTGTGTCCAGGTTGGTTCACAAAGTGTTCTGCTATGGCTGCCTTCTCTGGTTGAGTTAGTCTGCAGTGCCTTTCATGTTCCACAGACTGATAAACCCCACTTGCCTAGTTTCCAACAGTTGTTAGAGTGGTCCAAAGAGTCAGGTAATTCAATGCTAACCAAGCCGGGCAATTGCGGCATTCACACTTGCCTCAAGCAGACGAGAGAGTTCTTTCTCCCACCCTGGACATGATTCCACGTAGATGCAAACCCCATTTGCCTAGTTTCCAACAGACCTCACAAGGACCTCTGAGGGTGCCTGCCATAGATGTGGGTGAAACGTCAGGAGCGAATGCTTCTGGAGCATGGCCATGCAGCCTGGAAAACAAACTCACAGCAACCCAGCGATTCCGGCCATGAAAGCCTTCGACAACACATTGAGTCAATCTTCCTCAATACCGGTTTGGAAGGGATACCAAGGTGCTTGTTTATAGAGCTATTGCCCTCCCAGCCCTGCTATATGCCTGTGAGACGTGGACTGTCTACAGACATCACATGCAACTCCTGGAACGATTCCATCAGCGCTGCCTCTGGAAAATCCTGCAAATCTCTTGGGAAGACAGGCGGACAAACGTCAGCGTGCTGGAAGAAGCAAAAAACCACCAGCATTGAAGCGATGGTCTGTTGGACCGTCCACGTTGTCTGGATGCCCGACCACCGTCTCCCAAAGCAGTTGCTCTACTCCGAACTCAAGAACGGAAAACGAAATGTTGGTGGACAGGAAAAGAGATTTAAAGATGGGCTCAAAGCCAACCTTAAAAACTCCGGCATAGACACTGAGAACTGGGAAGCCCTGGCCCTTGACCGCTCCAGCTGGAGGTCAGCTGTGACCAGCAGTGCTGCAGAATTTGAAGAGGCACGAGTGGAGGGTGAAAGGGAGAAGCATGCCATGAGGAAGGCGCGTCAAGCCAACGCCGACCGAGACCGCCTTCCACCTGGAAACCAATGCCCTCACTGCGGAAGAAGATGCAGAGCAAGAATAGGGCTCCACAACCACGTACGGACCCACAAGAACACTGGAAGACAATCATCCTCGGAAAGCGAGGGGTCGCCTAAGTAAGTAAGGAAGGAAGGAAGGAAGGGCACGCACGGACCAGTATCGACGGGGGCCTGGAAGCGGCTTGAAACCAGCAGAGGCGACAAAAGGCCGGAGGGGCGTGGCGGCGGTGCCTCTTCCCTGCTGGCGGACCCTTCCTTCCTTGGGAGGCTGGGGAAGCCCCAAGGAATCCGGGCGGAGGAGAGGAAGAAGGCAGGCTCAGGCGCGGGGCCTCCTAGAATCTCTGGGATTCAAGCCCCCCCGCCCCCCCCCCCAAGTCCAGGCAGGAACACCCTATCAAATCCTCCCCGACAGATGGCTGTGCTTGGAAAGCCCCCTCTCACCTTGGGCGTGTGGGGCGTGTCGAAGAGGCGCAGCTTGCGGAAGGTCTTGTGGGGCGGCGTGCCGGGGAGCGGGGGCTGGGGGCTCCGGAGGAGCAAGAGAGGGGAGGCGGAAGAAGCAGCAGCAGCAGCAGAGGCCGAGGCGGCGGGGAGCAGCGGGGGCGACCCGGCGGCGAAGTAGGCGCCGGGGGACTGGACGGGCGAGGAGGAGCCGAAGCCCTCCTCCTCCCACGAGTCGCCCTCCTCCTCCTCGCCTCCTCGCCCGGCGGGGGCCAGCTCCATGGCCGCCCCCTCTTCTTCCTCCTCCTGGGGCGGGCGAGGAGGCTTCCGCTTGGCCGGGGTGCGGCTGGCGGAGAGCGGGGAGTCGGCCTCCTGGAAGGCGGAGTCCTCCCCGGTGCTGTTGCAGCTGCTCCTGCCTTCTTCTTCCTCCTCCTCCTCATAACAGTCCTCCTCGTCTTCTTCGTCGTCGTCCTCGCAATCGCTCCCGCCGCCCGGAAAGAGGAGCTTCTGCCGGATCGGGGCGGCCGTGAGGCGACGAGACCTCGCCGCCTGCTGCTGCTGGAGGCTGAGGAAACTCATGCTGCCGCTGACTGAGGCGATCCTCCGCCTTCCTCCTCCTCCTCCTCCGCGCTGACAGCAGCAGCGCCGATCCCAACTCGCGCGAGGCCCAACCGTTCCGCTCTCCTCCTCTTCTTCCTCCTCCTCCTCTTCCTCCTCCTCACACGGCGCTGCCACCCCTTCTCGTTCGGACTCCGCGGCTTTCCCGCGACCGTTAGTCACGTGGCCCCCGCGGCAGCCAATCACCCACGCCCCCTCCGTTTGAAAACAAGGGAGGCGAGGGGGCGGGGCCGTACGTGATGGCGTCAGGCGGCCGTTTGGCGCGAACTCGCGGCTCCATCAAGGCAGCGCCTGAGGGGGCGGGGCCAGCAGGACAGTTTCGCCTTCACAGAAGGGGCGGGGCCATCTCCTTTTTGTTTTCCGCCCTTTCAAACGGGGGAGAGAGAGAGAGAGAGAGGGGCGATGTTGTGGGACGTGACGTCAGGACGACCCTCGGGCCCTCCTGTCACGTGGCCCGACTGGCCAGATTTGAACAGGAAGGGGCTTCCTCTTCGGAGGCCGAGGGCGCGTGACTCGCGCTGGGCCTTCAAAGTGCGACTCGAGACTCCCCTCCCCTCTCTCGGCCTCCAGAGCCTGGCTCGGCGTTTAAAGCCCCGCTTGACGCCGCCTCTTCTCTCTCATTCGCCTGAGACCCGGGCAGCCACGTGTGGCGCCTCGTGCTTTGGGTAGGCCAAGGCCTTCCTCCCTCCCTCGTCGTCACCCCGTGGAAGCCGGAGTGCTTCTACGCTGCAGAATTCGTGCAGTTCGACACCGCTTCAGCTGCCGTGGCTCCATGCTAAGGAAGCAAGGGAGTTGTAGTGAAGCTTCCTTCACGCGAGTTCTTTCCCCGGTGCCTCACCGAACTACACATCCCAGGATTGCGCAGCGTGGAGCCCTGGCAGTTGAAGCGGTGCCAGACTGCACCAATTCTGTAGCCATTCCGGTACACAGAGGCACCACCGTGTTGCCGGGGATGCAATTGTAAGAGCTATGAATAGGTTACTTTTAGGCAGGGTCGCTGGTAATCCTAAACATGGCATCCACAAACTGAGGCCCTCCAGGTGTTTGGGCCTCCAACTCTCAGAAACCCCAACGAGCTTGTTCAGTTGTCAGGAATTCTGGGAGTTAAAGGCCCAAACAGCTGGAGGGCCACAGTTGGAAGATGCCTATCCTAAAGTGTTCCTTTTCAGCTGTTTCTCTGATGATAATAAACTGAATAACGGTTGCCCTTTGTTTGACCGCTGAGCTGCGAAATTTGTTGACCAAAAGGTCACAGGTTGGAATCCAGGGAACAGTGTGAGCTTCTGCTCTTAGGCCCAGCTTCTGCCAACCTGGCAGTTCAAAAACATGCAAATGTGAGTAGATCAATAGGTACTGCTTCTGAGGGAAGGTAAGGGTACATGACCTTGAAGTTGTCTACAGACAACGTCGGCTCTTCAGCTTAGAAATGGAGATGAGCACCACTCCCCACAGTCAGACATAACTGTACTTAATGTCAGGAAAACCTTTACCTATTCTGATAATAATTCTTGGTCTAGGTGAAATGTCATTTGTCAGTGTCTTGCAGGTCCAAATGATTTCCTGCAAGGTCTTCAAAACAGTGTCATGCAGTGTTAGTCCGGCCTCTATGGCCATGTTCCAGAAGGTTTCTCCACTGACATTTCGACCACACCTATGGCAGGCATCCTCAGATGTTGTGATGTCAGTTGGAAACTAGGCAAGTGTACATGCAAAGGGTTTTAAAATTTTAATCTACAACTGGCCCAGCCATAATGTTTTCAAATCTTGAGTGTGTTATTGCTTATATGTTCAACTGTATTATTTATATTGTTTATTTGCTTGCTTGTTTGTTGATATATTGTTGCATTTGTATTTGACAGGCTTGGCCTCATGTAAGCTGGCCCGAGTCCCTTCAGGGAGATGGTGGCAGGGTATAAATAAAGTTTATTATTATTATTAATATTAATAAATCTGTGGATTGCCCAGGGTGGGAGAAAGAACACAAATGTTATATAGACAAAAGTATAAAGAAAAAAAGACTGAAGCCAGTTCAGGTAAGAAAATATCATAGTTCTGCTTTCTGTGCGCTATAATCCCTGATCCATTTCAGGATCCCATATGGATACATTTTCTTAAAAACAAAAACAAGCAAAAAGCCCACAATAACAGTCAAGAAACTGGCTAATATTCAGCAGGCATTTCAAATTTTGTGCTATATCACCCTGGTCTTATTAGCTCCTGTTTTTAACTGTTATCCACTTGACTTATGGCAACTGTAGGAATGAGAGACCTCCAAGTCACTCTGTCACCAACAGTCCTGGTCAGGCTTTGCAAACTTAGGGCTGTGGCTTCTTTGACTGAGTCTATCCATCTGTGATATGGCCTTTGTAATGCCTTCCACCTTGCTAGGCATTATTGTCTGACTAGATAGGAGACTGCTGCAAAAAAATCCTTCAGCTTCTACTGAGGTCTTCAAATTTACTGCAAAGTTGCAAAAATCACAGAGACCTAGCCAAGATGTTTTGGGCTATTAGTTAATCCAATCCTGCTTTTATAAAAAAAAACTCTTCATGTAATCATTAGAAGAAGATCAAGTGCATGGCATGTACACTTGGTTCTGACTGTTCCACAATTTTTCCACAGAACACAGTTTGGGAAGTTCTGAAACTTCATTTTTGCAGTTTACACCTGTTTAAGATTAAAGATTTCCATTTAGCATAGCAGTTCTTGGGCTGGGTTGTTGTGAGTTTTCTGGGCTGTATAGCCACTTTCCAGAAGCATTCTCTCCCAATGTGTCTCCCACATCTATAGCGGGCATCCTCAGAGTTTGTGAGGTCTGCTGGAAACTAGGCAAGCGGGGTTTATATATCTTTGGAATATCCAGGGTGGGAGAAAGAACTCTGGTCTTCTGGAGGCAAATGTGAATGCTGTAAATCTTGATTAGCATTGCAAAGTCTTGGAGGTTCAAAGCCTGGCTGCTTCCACTAACCATATAGAGAAGCTGATGAAGAAACAGAACCTACAACTATCTACAGAACCACTAAGAAAATCCAACAAATTCTACATTCAGCAAAGGGCAAAAGGGATCCTCTCACCTGTGCAGGAGTCTCCTGTATACCGTGCAGCTGTGGACAAGTCTACACGGGAACCACCAAACACGGCATTGCCCAGACACAAATCTAGGAACATGAAAGGCACTGCAGACTACTTCAGCCAGAGAAGTCAGCCATAGCAGAGCACCTGATGAACCAACCTAGACACAGCATATTATTTGAGAACACAGAGATGCTGGACCACTCCAACGAGCATCATGTCAGAAGCCATTGAAATCCACAAGCGTGGACAATTTCAACAGAAAGGAGGAAACCATGAAAATGAACAAAATCTAGCTAGCAGTCTTTAAAAAACTAATATCAGGACAGTAAAGAAAGAACAACACTCAAAAACAGGAATTCCAGACAATAAATAATCAGGGACAGCAAGCACCTTCCAACAAAGGCTTCCCCAGGCAGAAAGCAGCCAAGCTTTGAAGCTGCAAGGCTATTCAATGCTAATCAAGGTGATCAATTGCAATATTCGCTCAAACAGACAAGAGTTCTTTCTCCCACCCTGGACATTCTACAGATATATAAACCTCACTTGCCTAGTTCCCAACAGACCTCACAACCTCTGAGGATGCCTGCCATAGATGTGTGCAAAACGTCAGGAGCGAATGCTTCTGGAACATGGCCATGCAGCCTGGAAAACTCACAGCAACCCAGTGATTCCAACCAAGAAAGCCTTCAACAACACAAAACAGCAGTCTTTCTGCCACTTAACAGTTACTAATTCTGGCACCAGCTTCCATGGACTACAACCCATTGCAGTATTGAGATATCTAAACCATGTTTTACCTGGTACTGTAACAGACCTTGTTTCACAAACTGCTTGTGAATAAACAAAATGATTGCATTATAATTAACATCATCAAGTAGATTGCATTTTATGTTATGGACACTTAGGCCTTTACAGGCATGTTGGCCTTGCTCCTAATTATCATCTTGTCTGGTTAATTATCTTGGGCAGGCTTTGTTGGATTGATAACATTGTTTGAACCTTCCAATTTCTACTAAACTGAACAATCTTAACAAAAGCTAATCCTCTCAGCCTCACTGTGTATTCAAGAACTCTGCTTTCTTGACTTGAGGAAGCCAGAGCAATGCGCTTAAGAGCTTTGGGGGGAAGCTCTCAGGAGAACACAAACAAGCTAATTGATAGAAAAGGTGATACCATAGTCCTCCTCAATTTAATGTCCTCCAATGTTTTGGATTGCAACTACATCATCAGCCCAGCTAATGGTCAATAATTAGATATGCCAGGTGCTGCAGGATACAGCTCAGAAGAAGAGACTGGCAAAACCACCTCTGTCCATTCCTTGCCTAAGAAAGATCCATAGAATTAATGGGATTGCCATAAATCGGTAATTTGGGTGTTGAAGAACGAAAATTTCTAGAAGGCATGATGTTGAGGAAATGTGTCAGTAGTTGCTGGAATACCCTCCTCAGTTGCTTCAAATGTAGCCTGGACACTTGATTTAATTGGCAACCTTTCATTACCCATGTGCTGCAAAGGTCAGGAGACAGTGGGATGAAAACTGGACTCTGATGCTGACATTAGGTTAAAGTTTCACTCTTGCAATGTAAGATGAATGAGAATAATAGTTTAATTACCTATACCTTATTAGCCACAAGACAGTACACTTATCACACGCCTCCTTATTCAGATATTTACTTTTCTGCTTTTACGCACACATTTAAATAGAAATGCTTGCAGAACCACCATTTTCCTTCATAAAAGGTTACAGAGTCTGGCACAGGGAAGCTGAGTTAAAGAAGCATTGCCAGGTATCTGAACAAATCCGAAGTGTGTGCAGTTCAAAAACTAGTAAAAATAATAAGAATCGATATTCAGGATTCTCCATATGGCTTTCAGTCCACATAAACAAAATAATTTAGTGCCCAATGTACTGGCACCATATGTACAAACGTATTTTAATGTATTTTTTAAAATGTAAACTTATTATTGTCATTATGCTTCCTAAAGGCTAAATCTTATACATCATTCAGATTCAGCACTGAATCCCACCCATTGCAATATACTGTTTTCTTGCGAAGTATCTCCCCCCCCCCCCCCCCCCCCCCCCAGTCCGGCCCCCTTCACACACACACAGTTCTTACAGCTTAACTGCTGGGTAAAAAGTGTCTGCTGA